ACACTTTGTTGTGAGACTGTGCTGACATGGTGGGCCTTTTCCCTGTATAGGAATAAGTAGCAGACAATGAATGAATGACCAAATCAAAAAAAATATGACACTTTTGGGGGGAGAAACCAGAAATGTTCAGCTGCAGAGTCACAGAATCCACTGGACATCCTCATGGTAACCTTTTGAGTACAGTTGTCATTTTTTAATCAGCCATTCAGCCCCCAAAGACTAGGAGACAAATCAAAGAAGCACTCCAGAAAATGACAGCTGTGCCATTGAAAACTAGAGGTAATTTCCAATGCATGTCCACAATTTATTTAATTTGCTCCAACACCAGCCCATCAGAGCTAAGGGCAATTATTGCGACCCCCCCTGCTGGCTTCCCTTGAGACCCTGTTACTTTCTCTATCCCCTTCCATTCACGATTTGCCCCAGTCCCCACCCCCACCGGCAGGATATTATCCAAACCCTGCTCAGACCATGCTTTATGTGTGGTTGTATGGGCTGTGTGACAATATACATCAAGGGCTATTATTTGTTAAGAGATATAGTGGCATGCAGTTGAGAAATGACCTGCAGCAGCAAAGCATCATAACCCACTTAGATGTATTTAGAGAGGGTTATCTTTGAGTTAGTATGAAAAATGTATGAGAAAAAAGATAATGTAAGCAAAATAGTGTCCCAGAGTCTCCTGCAGCACCGAAGCTTCTTAAAGTGCTTGGATCTGTATTGTTGTGAGTGGGAGGTAATTTCTTTTGTGTTTAATTCAGTAGGAAATGTGCTCACTGAAAAATGTATTCGTCATTTAAAGCTGCACTCTCTGGGCAACCTATAAAGACATCCAGGGTTCTTTATTCTCATATGAATTTATTGATACATTAAGGTGCGTGATCATCTGACCAAAGTGTTGCTTTTGCAGCTGTGGCTCCTAAACTAACAAACTGATATATCTCAACGTTTATTGCGTTCATTAAGTTTTCACTTCCTATACAATGCCCAATGTTTGTCCTTTTTTACTTTATGATGATGGTTTTACAAGGCAAAGAATTTATAGCACAAGAAGTCAATTACATATTTCATTGTACAACAGTTATTAAATAAAAGACTAATTCAAGCGACCTTTTGTTCTTCCTGCTCTGCCTCCTTTTGTATTAATTAATATATATCATTATAAGAAATAACACAATAACACAACTGTCTTTTATGGTTATCAGCATTCACAGGTAAAAACTGAGCGTATATATTTAACATATATATATATATTATACTGTATATATATTTAACATTATATATACTCATACTCTTCTGTATTATATGCTATATTGTTGTAATATATTATGTTGTATGTGTATACTATATTTCTATATTTATCCTTATCTTATATTATATATCCCATATATGTGTGTGTGTGTACTGCTTGCCTTGTGATTCAATTAGTTCAATGGCTCTTTTTCTCTTTTCACTTTTCTCTATTTATCTGTGCTTACCTGAATTTCCCCTCCAATGATCAATAAAGTATTTTCTTATCTTATCTTACAATGTAGGAAAGAAGGAAAGGATAGTTTTTTAGTTTTTTTGGATTTGTTTGTTACAAGTCTGACTATATTGATTTAGTAAAGAGCAATAAAGGTAGATAAGCATCATGTAAAGCTCACCACTCAGCCATGTACAATGACACAGTCAACCACAAGAGAGATAAGTAGGCAGATACAATAGAAATTAATTCAGCATGTTTAAGTGCAGCTGTCTGGTCACCAGTGAGCAGGTGCCATTCCTCCTCCACCCCTCCTTTTCCATCCATTCATCCATACGCCCCTCCATTTCATCTTGGTTTCTATACTGACTGCTGTCAGCAGCTCCGTAATAAATCCTCATCGTAGCTATGTCCTGTGTCAGTGTATGAATTATAGTCTAACTGAGCTGATTCAGGATGATGGTGGACAGAAAACGTCCTTCCACGATTGCCAGCCCCTCCATCTTTCCATCTGAGGCTACAACCAACACTCAACCCTCCTCTTTCACTTAATCCTTCCTCCAATTCTTTTGTCACTTTATCCCTCCATTTGCATCCAGAGGCCGACCTTACTATCAGGCTAAAGCAACACCAGCCTGGGGCCCCCAAATGACATGGACCCCCAAAAGCATATTCTTGACAAGAATGTATTTTAAAAAAAAGTTTAACAAAAAGAGAAAAGGGTCAGAAAAGCAGGCAGAGTATATTTTGCTCAACAGCTGAAGCACAGCCTGCTTTTAGCACACATGTTACTATTTATTGTAATGTTAGCATTAATAACTAATTTCTCCCTTGTAATAAAATGGTTTTATACTTAACCCAACATTATTCGTTTTTCATGTTGACTATATATGAGAAATAGCCCAAAAAACAATATAACAGAAACAAAAACAAAAAGAAACAAAAAAAATGGTAGGAATAAGATCATTTGTATGCCCCCAACCTACCTCCCATATCCCCCCCACAGGCCTCCTCTCACCCCACCTACCTTGGACCTCATGGACTTGAACAGCAGCTATAATAAGAGTGTTATTGTTGTAATCTCTGGTTTCCAGTGTGAAATGTTTTCTACTTTTGCCTGGTGCATGTTGGCAGCCCAGTCTTCCATCCTCACTACGTCTATCAAGTCAATAAGCCATCTTTGCATATTGACAGAATGAGAAGCTTTCCATCTGCAAGCTATTAGTCGCTTGGCAGCTGTAAGACCAGCCGGAGACATCTCTGCTTAACACAGAGTTCTCATTAAGTAACAGGACTTTTGGCAAGTAAGGATTTCTTTATTTTTTTTATTTTTTGGACAATATGATTGATAGCATCTCTGAAACCCTCTTCCAGAACTCTGCAACCTTTGGGCACCCCTACACAATATTAAAAAATGTGCCCTACTCATTTTAAGTGCAGACTGCAGTGTGATGATGGTAGAGCTTTCATTTTGTGCAGTGTGCAGGGAGTAGTATGTATGAATAACTTCATGGTTGGGGTTCCTGGAAGACTGTTGCATATTATGCCAGATTAGTTTGCAATTTGGGTTAGAGCTATTTGAGGAGAGGATCCAAAGTGTGTCTATAAATAGGGGCTTACATGAGGTTTTATAGGATGGAATATATTGTTGAAACCAGTCCACTGGGGCTGGTCTGCTGTGTGAAATGGACGTGTGGGGAGAGGTATGTTCCAAGGCACACCACAGAGTCGGAGATAAAAAAAGAAAGATGTGCCAGGTGGACTGAAATGTTTCTGGATGTCTTGAAGAGTTCAGAGGCCCTCAGGGCTATAAATGTCCCAGAGAGTGTGCTCCCCTGATATGTGAGGCAGTTTAAAGCCTTTAAAGTGATTTTATTTATTAGACAAATATCTTTAAATGTTCCTGTTTTAAGACCAAAACTATAAAATCAAACTGAAATATGATAAGTTATTCAGTTGTTTGTATAACTAAATTAAATCATATTCTGGCAAGTTTTTTAAGCTTTAGTAGTCTTGAGTGAAAGATGCCTTCATTATGATGCTTTTATTCTGCCCATATTTCTTTATTTACATAAAATGCCAGAACTGGAACAAATACACCAAAAGATCTCTAGCGTGTAATTGAAAACAGTCCACAAAAATGTGGAAAATGAAATGATTCAGCAGCTAAAAACCTGGAAACATATTGTCATATGGAAAAATAAGGGGGGAAAATTGTGACATTTAGGCCCCTACTTTTGCCTCAGGCCTCCAGTCCTCCCCCATCTTCATCCTTTCACCTCTTCAGGATTTTTACCTTCATGTCATAGCCCTCCTTCCTCAAGCCCTGTTCATTTGAGTTGTGTGCCCTCCCCTCTCCTCCCTTCAGCATCCTTTCTCCATCCTTCCATCCATTATCCACTTTTCATTCTTAGGCCTCTACAGCTATTCTCCACCTCTCCATCTTTCTGCCACCTTGCCCTCCCTCTTTTTTTTTTTTATATCTGTTGCCTTTTCATCTGACACTCCACCCCCATTCGCCCCCCCCGCGGTGGCGTCCATACACCGACCGAGCGCAGGTCCTCTTGGTTGTCAGTCACTTTCCCAGGCGAACAGACGGCGGCAGCAGCAACAGCAGCAGGAGGAGCGGAGGACGGTAATCCCCCCTCCAGCCCAGCCCACCCCACCCCTCTCCGAAACCCAGAAACGGTGGCAGGAGGGGAAACAAAAAGTCCTCGCGGGACACCTGTGCTGCTTGGGATACCCCCCCTTTATGAACTGGTGGTGAAACAAAATTTAAGATCTGAATTCGCACCCAAATTGTGGACGGATGCTGATGACGCCGGGTGGGTGACTGAGGCGGGGATGTAGACGCGGAAAAGCGCCAAATTTGCCTCGATTTGACGGTGACGGAGCGGTCGGCGCCACCACCAGCAGCAGCACCAGCAGCAGCATCAGTCGGTCGGCGGATGGAGATGCGTTGTGAAGGCGGAGGGATGATGATGATGATGATGATGGTGATATAGCAGGTGCTGCAGGGTCGTGCCGCATTGCCTGGCCGCCGCGAGCGACGCCGTGGAGACGGTGATGCTGTCGTCGTCATTGTGCCACAGAAAGAGAGAGAAAGCGAGGAGAGGCTTTGACATGGAGGGAAGCGGCTGTGTGTCGGCTCTGAGCTCATCAGGCCGCCCGGATCAGCAGGTTGGATGTGCCGCCTGAAAGCCTGCAGGACCTGAGTCATGATATACATGGTGGAAAAAATCCCAACTAAGTTAAATTCTTGAGGGTGGAAATGTTTCTGTGCGTAAAAGTGAATGGCCCATATGTTGATAATGCATCATAGGAGCATCATAGTAGCAGCGTCTGTGCCAGTTCAGGGTGGATTACGTCTACAGAGCAGCAGGCCTCCATCTGAAGTCAGCTTCTGATCAGGAAACCCACAAAGAAAAACCATTTAATACACTTCACCCTGTTGCTGGAGGTAACAATTTCTTCTGTTGTTTCACTGGAAGCTGGTGTGGTGTGGTCCCCCGTGGAGGGACAGCTGTTGCAAAAGATGACTCACTTACAGGCTGGCCTCTCTCCAGAGACCCTGGAGAAGGCCAAGGTGGAGCTGAAAGAAAACCCTGAGACTTTACATCAGGACATCCAGGAGGTCCGGGACATGATCATCACCCGGCCGGACATTGGTTTCCTCAGGACAGACGACGCGTTTATCCTCAGATTCCTCCGAGCGAGGAAATTCAACCACTTCGAGGCGTTCCGGCTGCTGGCACAGTACTTTGAGTACCGACAGCAGAACCTGGACATGTTTAAGAATCTGAAAGCCACTGACCCGGGAATCAAACAGGCCCTGAAGGACGGTTTCCCCGGCGTGCTCTCCAATCTGGACAGATATGGCAGGAAAATACTGGTCCTGTTCGCAGCCAACTGGGACCAGAGCAGGTAATAAAGAGGCAGAGGGGCTGGGGTTGGGGCTGGTGCTGATGGGGCTGTAAAGTCTGTGTTTAGGTTATCTAATCAGACATAAAAAGAGACAGGACACATGGAGAAGAGAGGAGAGTCAGTGCTTTAAAGGCCATTATAATTAAGTGTGAGTCTGGTTGGTGGAGCTGTCCATTCGGCACCACAGAAACTACAAACCAACTCATATTTCGTCTTTAATTAGTTGTGGAGAAAATACACTGCAAGGCCAAAAGTATGTGGAAAACCTAAAAATAACAGCAATGAGCATTAAAGCTGCTATAACAGTGTCCAATCTTCTAGTTTCAAGGCTTCTACCAGCATTTGAAACCCTGCCTGCAGGGATTTGCTACCATTCAGACAAAGCATTAGAAGAGAGCATTAGAGGTCTTACACTGATGTTAGGATAAGGTCTGGCTCACAATTCCAGTTCATCACAAAGGGGTTGGATGGGGTCGAGGTCCGGGCTCTGTGCAGGTCAGTCAGGGTTCATTCACACCAAACTGGTGAAAGCCCAAAATCACAAAATTTGCCTCAAAGGGCTTTACTATCTAAACATATTACATCTACTGTCCTTGATCCTCAGTTCAGTTAAATAATTAATAACCCCCCCCCCCCCNNCCCCCCCCCAAAAAAAAAAAATATCTTCCACAGTGAACAGATGTGTGATAGATGTTGTACAATGTAGACAGAAAGAGCAACAGTCAAATGGAACAGATTAACAATGTTAAAACCATTTTTTCATGGACCTGGCTTTGTGTGCGGTTGTCTTATCTTGTTGAAACAAAAAAAGGATCTTCCACTAAACTGTTGTCACAAACTAAGAAGTATCGTCCAAATGATGAAAAAACTGCCACAGAACAGAGATGTGCTGACATATGGCAGGATGTCCACACACTTTTGGCCCTTTAGTGTATCTATTTACAAATGAACCCCCTGCCTTTTTATTTCAATAAAAGTATTAGCACTAAGATTTCCTGTTTTGAGTGGTTTAAACCTTTTTACCTTATAGAAAATGAATCATTTTCAACCTGTCACATGTTGCATATGTCAGGGACTTGTAAGTAGATCCCCCAAATAATGACTTTTCCACTTAAATTGTTTTATTTGAACAATGTTTAAAGGTCTGAGGAGTTAAAAGTATCCAGATTCACTCAAAAGTATATATCTGTAAATTATCTTGAGACTGCTCCGGTTTATCTTTTGACCCCTCGGTGCCCGGGTCTCGACACACCATGTTGGAAACCAATGATTAAAATTACAAACTGTTGCTCATCATGTTGAGGGTGAACATCCAAGCACCTGGTAATTACAGCTGTCAGATGATATGAATCACTAAAGGGTTCAGCCTTTCCTTCTAAAATGAAGTGGAGTGAATATGAGTTACTTAAGTTAATAATCTTCAGCATGTTCATAACTTCTAATTGCAGGTGAACTTGCAATTAAGTCTGAGTAAGACTGGGCTAAGTTTGTAATTTAATATCATGTGTATCATGAGTTGTATTGGGGATAAATCTGCAGACATCTTTCTCCTGTCTTGTTTGACTGGATATACAAGATGAACTACTGGGTCACTGTTACTGGTATTTTTCTCTCATAAATGAATTTATAGTCTGCAGTGACTGGGTCAGGGTTAGTATCCGGGCTAAGGTTGAAGTTATAAAAAGGGCCAGGACATGGTTTTGTTTGGCTTTAATGAGGGACCAGGCCTGGTTAGTGTTCAGGTAACAATACTTTACAGAGATGTTGACCTTATCTCACCTCATAATTCAGTTCAGAAACATGAGAATATCCACATAAAGTGTTACTGGGCCTGATTAAATATAGAACCACAATGGAGCCATCCAGCTGTATCATGATTGTTCTAGAAAATGTAGACGTACTACAGTAGACTCCACTCTGCTCAGCAAAATCATTATGTATTAACAGGGAACCCGGAGGCGCAGACAGTCTGTAACTTATAATTCCAGTCAGTCATAAGATCATGTGCATTTAGTTATTAATTTCTCCTCTCTGAACATGAATCAATCTGTGAAAATTATGTCGTCCTTGTTATTCTAGTCATCATTTTTCTTCTATTCGACAAATTTCAGAAATACTGGCAGAGCTGATCTATTGTATGTTATATAGCTGCAGCAGACTTGCAATTGTTAAGGGTCCATTTTGCTGCCAATTAAGCAAACTAAGAAGAATTATTATCTCTAGAGGGAGGTAAGAGGTTACTTAATAAAGAATCAGATGGAAATGAAGAGCGGGAAACAACATAATGAGGGCAATAGCAAACAGAAAAAAAAAACAGACTGTTGAATAGGACAGCGAAGTATCCGCGGCATCAGCTGATGAAAACCCACTGAGGCAGCAAACAGCATGACTAGCAGCACCAGCAACCCGCAGGTCGCAGCTGAAAGAAATAATAACATGCAACAAAACCATCCAGCAGATACATTTGAGCTTTTTTGCTATCTGCTGACACACTACAGCCTGACTCAAAAGACTTTAATTCAAGAATAAATTACACTGATTATCAGAGAATTCAGCTGCTTGTCAACCTCATTAAGAGACTCTGTTTCAGCTCTTTAAATGAGATTTATTGTGAGAACAATTTAAGATCCTTGTCCACAGCTGTAACTCATGATTATTTTTTTTACAACTGATTAAACTTCAGATAGGTTTTTGATTCAGTATTCATTTCAGCCCGTGAAACAATTTTCATTACAGTTTCTCTTTTTGTCCGACCAAAACTGGAAATATACGTAGAAAAAGCAGCATATCCTCTCATTTTAGAAGCTGCACTCTGGTGGACATTGTTTCAAAATAAATAGAAATTTTGTCACGTTTTCTGTTTTAAGTTTAATATTCTCTCCAGTTCGCTGGCAAATAAAAACCCTGTTACACTGTTCTCAGATACACATTTGTGGACATACTGAGGGCAATCCTGCTGTCGCTGGAATCTATGATAGAAGACCCAGAGCTGCAGGTCAACGGCTTCATCCTCATCATCGACTGGAGTAACTTCACCTTCAAGCAGGCGTCCAAACTGACTCCCAGCATGCTGCGGCTCGCCATCGAGGGGCTACAGGTAAGACGCTCTGCTATCAGAAAGCTTTGTTGATGTTGTTATGGTTGGTTTACGGTTGGGTGCTGGACTTGAAACTGTGATTTGTATCCCAGGATGTCAAAGTTGTTTTATTGACCATGACTGTGATCTTTCCCAAACAGTTACAAGGTATTTTTAGTTTCTTTTTTGGACGACAAACAACATATTTTGTCATCAAGATATAAGGACTTATTGGTAAAATAGTTACCAGCCATTATATAACATAACAATTACATACCACAATAATACTGGAGGTTAATAATAATATGAACGCAGACAAATATCTACAATTTGTCATTATACTACAGCTGAAGTGATTAATAAATTACAGTAACTGATAAGTTAATTAATCCTTAGAAACTAATTTATGATCTTGGTTTTCTGTTTTAATTGTAATTTAATATATTTGGGTTTTAAATAGTTTGTCAGCAAAAACAAGCCATCTAAAGAGACGCCACCTTGGCCTTTGGAAACTTTCTGACGTTTTATCGACTGCAGAATTTGTGGAATAATTGATAACACAACTGACAGATTAATTGATATTGTTGTCGCAGCTCTACACTGCACATTTTCCCAATATTATCTTGGCATCTAGAAATCCTTCAACAGAGCTATGTTAGCTGAGGGAAAAGCAAAATCTTGCACCTTAGTTGACTCTAAAGGACTATGTTTCTTTTTCTGACAGTGGCAGAACAAACCTCCAGTTCCCTTCCCATAAGCCACTCTGCAGTCAAAAATGTTCCACTCAAGAACAAGTCAAGCACCGTCTTAAAGCCGTGAGCTTGTATAAAGAGCAATACAAGGAATAATGACATTTCCATTTTGATTACACACCGCTGGGTGGTTTGTTCAAGGCTCGTTTGGCAGGTAGATGATGCAAAAAAAGGGATTTTTAGTGGTTGTCAGTTTGGTTTGCGAGTTCTTGCTTTCTTTAATGAGAATTGGTATTCCAGTTTTTTGGTTTTGGGGAGGACGAGGGGAGACAAGTGTGACAGTGCTCACTGGATTTGTATTGAGAGTTTTTCATGGCATAAACACGCATTAGTGCTCTCGGTCATCAGGACACCTTTAACGTCATTATTGAAATGAGTTACAGGAGAAAAAGCTCACAGGCAGAGTGTACAGCTGTCCTCTGGTACCCAGCCAAAGAGGAAATGTCTTGCCTGTGTGTGTGTGTGTGT